CCGTAAAGATTTACAGCCTCGGAAACCCTGTACAGGGTCGCTATGAGTCGGAACCAACTCCACGGCACTTAACAACAACAACATGATCTATAAAAGCAAATGTCTTTGCAGAGTCATAAAACATAAGTAAACATCTTTCTGGTATTCTCTGCTTCTAGTCAATATACATCTGACACCAGCAATGACATACATCCCTAGTTCTACACCCTCTTCTGAATCTGGCTTGAATTTCTGGCAGCTCCCTGTAGATGCTACAATCCGTCTTGAATTATTTTCAGCAAAATTTTACTTGCATGTGACATTAATGATATTATCTGATGATTTCCATGTTCCTTTGCATTTAATTTGGAATGTGATGATCTTTTCAAATTGATTGGTCAGGTAGCTGTCTTCTCAATTTCTAGACTAGTGAGTGCATTCAATGCTGCATAAGTTTGTTGAAACACTTCAATTTGTATTTCTCAATTCTTGGAAATTTGTTTTTTTTACCAATGCCTTCAGTGCAGGCTGGACTTCTTTTCATACCATTAGTTCTTGATCATATTATACGTCTTGAAATGATTGTTATCAACCAGTTCTTTTTGGTACAGTAACTCTATTTCTTCCATATTATTTCAATCTTTCCTGTATCATTTAATATTCTGCTCATGTTGTTAAGTACCTTCTAGTTGATTCCAACTCAGAGCAACCCTATATAGAGTTTCTGACGAGTGACTGGTGGGTCTGAACAGCCGACCTTGTGGTTACCAGTTCTTATCACTGCCCAGTCCTGTGCCATCCTCATAATTACGATTACACTTGAGTCCACTGCTGCTACCATTGTGCCAATCCATCTAGTTGCGTGGGGTCTTCCTCTTTTTTGCTGACCCTCCACTTTACCAAGCATGATCTAAGTCTTCAGGAACTGGTCACTCCTGATAACTTGTCAGAAGCATGACAGACGAAGTCTGGCCATCCTGGCTTCTATGGAGCATTTCGGCTATACTTCTTGCAACATATATTTGTTCATTCTTCTGGTAGTCCATGGTACTTTTAATATTCTTCTTTGGCATCATAACTAAAATGCATCTATTCTTCTATGGTTTTCTTTATCATTGTGCAACTTTTACATGCATATGAGGCTACTGAAATTAACCTGGTTTGGGTCAGGTGCACTTTAGTCCTCAAACTGATTATCTTCGCTACTGAACACTTTTAAGAGGTCTTGTGAAATAGATTTGCCTAATGCAATATGCCATTTGATTTCTTGACTGCTGCTTCCCTTTGTTGTTAGGTGCCATCGAGTCAGTACCGACTCATAGTGACCTCATG